ATCATAAGCCCCTAGGACATTTGTAAAACAGTAGTTCTCAGGGCGAAATATCATTTAGAAATATCATTTAAGTTTTCAAATCTTAGAAAGATGGTTGTGTTTGCAAAACAGTATTTAAAACCTTGGACTGAGGTCAAATGATATGCAAAATATGCGAAAGCAGTAATATCAATCCCTGAAGGATTCAAATAATTGGCAAGAAGCCTACAATTGGAAACATGACCGAGGATATAAATTCTTTAATAAAATAAGTGAGAAAAACCAGTCAAAAATCCCCTAAGGGTTCTACAGGTCGGCACAAGGCCCCAAGCATGGCAACAAGCCCAATTCACAATAATAAAGTATACGTCTCAACCAAAAATATAGTAAAATATCTCTCGGGACGGACCAAGTCACAATCTCTAACGGTGCTCTACCCCACGCCTGTTATCCAGCGTGCAAGTCACCTCAATATAGCGTTACGATGTGAAATTCTGGGGTTTCAAACATTCAAGACATCAATTACTCATCTCGATCCGGTCCAAAATCTAGCCCGTGATGCCTCGCCCGCACGAATCGACCTCCGGATGCCCCAAATCCTAATCCATATGGTGAAAATCGCTTCAAAAATCGCTTCAATCCAAGCTCCATAGCTCCAAAAATGAGAAAACTCTCGGACTGCCCGAATCATACACTGTATACTCTGGTACTGTACACAGATACTGTTCACGCAGGTGCAGTTACTGTTCACACGTGCGAAAAATGCAGAAACTGCCCAGAAAATTGCAGTAACTTTTCCACTAAAAAGGCTCTAACTCCATCATACGAACTCAGAATTCGATGATTCTTGTTCCTATGAGTCACAAAAAATATTACAAACATAGATCTTTAGTCGAAACTCAATTCAGAGATCATTTGCTCAGTTCAATACCCATTTCGCTCGTTAAACAATTAACTTATGTTTCGTGTCAAAAACCCAATCGCGACTTGATGAAATTAGACCAAACATTCCAGATCACTCCATAATTCATTATTTAAATTCTGGAAATCTCGAAATAAAATTTTGATCTCTAGAACTAAAAATGGACCTTTGGATCATTACATGCTTATGCTCAAACGACAAAAATCTTCCAAAAACTCTTCCAAAACTTATCCGAGCCTCATGGGACCCCGACCAAACATGCCAACATTATTCAAACCTCTTCCAATCATCAAATCACCTCAAACAACATCAAATTACCCAAAACTCATCGAATTCAAGCCTAATTTTCTAAAAACTTCCGAAATACACTTTCGATAAAAAACCCGACCAAACCACGTCCGAATGACCTGAAATTTTGCGTACATATCCCAAATCACCTAATGAAGCTACAGAAACTCTCAGAATTCCAATACGACTCTCGAATCAAAATCTCACCTATCAACCGGAATTCGCCAAAATACTAACTTCGCCAATTCAAGCAAAATCCTTCCACGGACTTCCAAAATACATTCTGATCGCGCTCCTAAGTCATAAATCATCCCCTGAAGCTAACCGAATCATCGGGATTCAAATTCGAGCCCTCTAACATATAAGTCAATGTCCGATTGACTTTTCCAAAACAAACCTTCCTTAAAGAGACTAAGTGTCTCATTTCCTACTAAAACCAATCCAAATCAACTCGTTCACACCCAACACTGATAATGAAGCATAAAGAAATAGGAAATGGGGCGGTAACTCACGTGACGACGGGTCGAGTCGTCACATTCCCCTCCCATCTTTACTTGTTTATTCCTGCTTTACTTTCCGCTGTATATATAATATAACTGCACATGTTTATTTGGTGGTCTGGTCCTAGCCTCGTCACTACTTCTCCGAGGTTAGGCTAGACACTTACCAACACATGGGGTCGGTTGTGCTAATACTACACTTTGCACTATGTGTAGATCCCGGGGCAGCTCTTGGACCGTAGTTGGAGGCTACCTTCAGTCCACAGGGAGATCCAAGGTAGACCTGCAAGCGTCTGCAGGCCCTGACGTCTCCTCTATCTTTTATTTCCTGTTTCTACTTTTTACTTTAGAAACAGTGTGTCTTTTATTCTCGGATCTTGTATTTAGCATTCTTAGACCGTCTGTGACACCAGGTTTTGGGTGATTAAGACTTAAGTAGTTGTAATAGCTACAGATTTAGATATTTTATTGTTTTTCTTCCGCTTAATTAAATATTCCGATGTTTATACGTTATCGTTTTATATCTGTTAAAAAGAATTAATTGGATAATGGAGTAATTAGTTTAAAGGATTGCATTGCCTAGCTCACATTAGTAGGTGTCATCACGACTCCCGAGGGTGGAAAATCCGGGTCGTGACAACCTAACATGAAAACTTTCGTCAAGTGGTGGTTGCAAATGCATTTTTAATATTGAAATTGCGGCATTGTTGTTAGAAGCATTATCAAAAGATATACACAATACTTTTTTCTTGAGATTATAAAATTCAACAACTTCACAAATAGTAGTACTTATAAACACAACAGTATGACTTTAATCTTCATCATATTTAAAAGAGATAATACATTTTTGCATATAATAATTATCATTTATTCAATGATATAATTGTCAAATAATCATTTCCATTAACAGCATGGCCAATATCAGAAGTTAGAGAAACTTTACAAGGAAGGTGGCTAAACAAATAACGTATGTATATTTGATATTATCCATGAAGTCTAAAGATATCAGATCTACAAGTACTTCTAGGAATACCTTTCAATAAATGATTATAAATCCTTTGAATATACATAATAAGATATGATGAAGAAGCAAAAAAAAAAGGTAGACAACCCAAAGCAATCATTTTTGATAACTCCTCACGATCCTTCATTTTATTATATTTCATAAGTCCTCCAGTAGTAGCGTTTAGAGTTGTTTGATTTTCATCTCCATCAGAGCCATATTCTATAGGATGCTCAATTCTCATATGTCTACTAAGTGTCCCAGTCTCCCCAAATTGTCCTCCAGTCTTATGTTTAAAAGTATCATTACAAAATTTGCATTTAACTCTATCACTACCTTCTATTTCGTCAAAAAATTTCAAAACCTTACTTCTTTTTCTCCGATTAGTAGTCAGGGCCACAAGTGGTCTACGACTAGCACCACGACCACCACCCCTGCTACCAGCTCCAACACTACTAGGTGTAAGTGGTATCTCATCTTCCATTTCTAATTCATTATCTTCTATACCGATATTTTTCTGTAATTGTTCATAATCTATACTATTATCATGTAATGTTTTAGGAATACGTGTAGAGTCATTTAAATTACTACCAAATGTTGAAGCAGAAGTACTACCTCTTCTTTTATTTTCCCGATTAGTAACCTTATTACAAACTCTTTTTGCAGCATTAAACATATTGTAAAAATTTAACTACTAGCAAAAATTAAATATGCAAATAAAATAGTAAATAAGAGAAAAAGTTGGAGGGAGTGCACGGAATTCAACAATAAATTGAGCACTTGATGATTACGCAACTCCAATATTACCACAAAGAAACGTCAATTGTTCCAATTTTAAAGTTCAATTGTTCAAACTTCAAATAATAAATACTACGATAAATTAAATTCTAAAAAAAAGAGCCAAATAGTTGGTTGCACTTTAGGTGAAGATTGAAGAATGAAAGAATATGAGAATTGAGATTGAGAAATGAGAGATGAGTGAAGAAATGAAGAGGGGGAGGGGGAGGGGTGTATTTATAGTTTTACAAAGGGTTAAATTTGTAATACAAAAAGCTCTAATTTTAAAAAAAAAAAGCCCAAAAAGGGCTAATTGTGCAAATCAGCCGTTGGGCAACAGCTCCTTGGCAGGTGACCGTTGCCAACAGTAACCAATCAATATTTTAAAAAAAAATAAAAAAAGAAACTAACCGTTAACCGGTTGAAAATAGGTGAACGGATCAACCCCCTTACCCCTTTAACCCAGCCCCACTCGGCCCCCTTGTATCGATCCGAGCCGGTTTCGATTTTAGCCGGTCCGATTACGGTTAAACCCGGCCCATTAGACACCCTTAGTCTCACCCCACCATCCACCACCAAGAAAACATTTTTCAATTCCCATTTTTTATTTTCCTCAAAATGCAAAAAAGAAATTTGGTCTATTTTAGTGAGAAGAACACAAACGGATGATAAAAGATGAAATCTTGGTGGGTGAGGATTCAACTGAATTTCAGTTATCCAAACAAAAGATTTCATCTTGAGTTTAGTTTGTTGGGATTCTTGGGGTTGTTCATTATGCTGTTAATGTTAGTTGGACTGACAATTCCACTGATTTTGAAAAATTACTATTTCTACCTTTTCAGATAGCCATGAGGTGAATATTTTGCATAATTGCTTTATTTATGTTCTGTTTGTATATGTGAATCCCAACACCAACTAGTATTAAAATTCATACAAGTTCCATGAATATTTCTTATGGAAGGTCTCCGGCAGATCAGGAAAAGTGAACAAAAAATCTACGACGAACTATTCCGGCGAGATTTGAAGATGAAACACCTTTTTATTTTTTATTTTTGATGACCTGTACAAAAAATGAAAGAATGAGTGTAGACATATGATTTTTGACCCTCCCCAAGATTTTTTATATTTATCATGTAAATATTTAATTTAGGCCTAATATAGCTATTTCAACTCATTTTTACTCTTTTACTTTTATTTTATTACAAGAAAACAAAAATTACAAAAAATAGGTTCGTTAAATGTTTTGTAGTCATTTTTAATCTTGAAAAAATACCAAAAAATAGTTTTATTATAACGGTCAGTCTTATTTTGATAGTTATTTTACTTAAGTGGGACTAATTAATAAATGAGATTGTATTTTAATCTCGTTCGCAGGGAAAGAATAAAACTTAGGCTCGAGCAACTCATTTCTAGGCCTAATTTTGGACCTAGCCCATAATTCCTAGGCCCATACCCCTAACCTAATCCCTACCCCTATATAATAGTACCTAATGCATAAATACTGACCTACACCTAAAAAGCTATAAAAAACTTGGATCCGCCGTTTTCTATCAAATCAGACCCCTAAGGCATCAAAACTAGAAATCAGCGAAATAATACATAAAGATAGACCTAGGAGCTAAGATCGGCGTCATTTATTCAATGATGGACCCCTCCCCATGATGTCTTCTTCAACGTAAGACCTAAAGCTCTTTCTTATTTGAAGCAAAAAAATCAACTTCTTCTTGGCCATTTGCGATGGTTTCAGCTGAAGCCTAAACGACGACCCCATGAACTCTGGTTCTTGAAAAAAATCCCAGAGCTTTAAGCATCAGTCTCATAGACCTAGGGCATCAGCGGCTTCTTCTTCCTCGACTGAACTCCATCACCACCGTAAATGGCCGGAAGCCGGCGACGAAAGTTTGTTTCGTCAATGGTGTTCGTTTAAAGCTCGTGGAGAGTTCGTTTGAGGTTGTCGACTGAGTTTCAAGTTCGTCGTTCCATTTAGTGTAACATTTCTGTTGAGATCGAGTCCTGCTATAGCCCGTTCGTAGGTCGCTAGCTCTATTCGTTGGGTCTGTTCAGTTCCATTCGAGATTCCGGCGAAGTTCCGGCGCTGCTATGTTTTCTTGTTCGAGTCCGTGTCTGATTGGCCGAGCTTCGAAACAGTATTGTAAAGGTGCACTTTTCAAATTCTATCTTGTTCCATCTCATTGTTTTATATTGGGGAAGGAATTAAATTGGTTTGGTGTTATGTTGGTTTGATTGTATTTGCATGCGTTAGTTCCATTAATCTGCTAAATGTCTTAATATGGCTCATTCTGTTTTCATCACTATCTAAGACATTTGATTTGAGTTTGTTTATAAGTAAGAGAAAGATATATTGTGATTGTTGCGGTACTGGAACATAATATCAATTTGATAATTACAAAGTCGATTTAGTAGCGAAAGTGTCAGTTTGGAATTTAAAGTATTAATAGAATTACTTATTTGTGTTCTTGAACATGATTATGACTTCTAAAAATAATTCGGAGTATGTGTTCGCGCAACTTCAAATAAACTTTCTTAGTAATAAGATGGTTGTTAGTAGGCCGCTAATTTAATTTAATTTATATAGCTTGAGGTGTGCCATCTATAATTAAATCATCTATGGCCCTCACACATGTTATAATTTAGATATTGAACATGAACTTCGTAGTTCGCTTTAGGCGCGTTAATCATATAATCATCATGACTACTACTAAAATCCGGGGGTACATTTCATGTGGCCCGATTTAAATTTTCTAACAAGGTTAAATAGAACGTGTCGTGAACCATAGGTGCATATCATGTAGCGTGGCTTATAATGCGTTTTAAATGACCTTGAATTTTTCTCGAAATAAATAAAAGCGGTTATAAAATTAAAAATGCATGTAGGTTCAAAATGTGTAATAAATCAGATAATTAGGCCAGTATCAATAGTTGAGCGACCGTGCTAGAACCACGGAATCCGGGAATGCCTAACACCTTCTCCCGGGTTAACAGAATTTCTTACCCGGATTTCTATGTTCGCGGACTGTAAAACATATTCAATCTTTCCTCGATTCGGGATTTAAATCCGGTGACTTGGGACACCATAAATATCCCAAGTGGCGATTCTGAATTTAATAAATAAATGATCCCGTTTCGATTGCCACTTAAAGTGGAAAAACTCCCTATATATACCATCGGGTGTGTAAAAAGGAGGTGTGACAGCTCTGGCGACTCTGCTGGGGATCGAACCCAGAATCTCTGGTTCAGGGTTCAAGAATTCGAGCTTAGAATAACTGTTATAGTTGGCTTTTTTATATGATTTTTACATGTTGAACTTAATGTGCTAAATGCTACTTTTACCGCTTTGATATTGGTTGATTGGGTATATAAACTGCTACGAAACCCTTCTTCTCTCTGATTCTTCTAAATCATGGAAGAGTGTGCACTTCGTGTGACTTCTCTTCTGTTAGAGTCATATCCCAAATTTTAAAATAAGGTTCAGACAAGTTGCAAAGCCGGTGAAGCTTCTGTATTCCCGGTACGCTGCCCCTCCTCGACTCGAGTTGTCCGCTCGGGTACACAAGTATAGAACAAATACCCAGGTTTTTGAACCTAGAATAACTCAGCCTCATGCCGGATCCCTAGTAGGAACGTTTGTTTGCATCATGTGCATTTGACTTTTGAGACTCAACACAGGGGTTGGGTCTGTCTAGGACAGGTGCACCAAATTAAAAGACCATCCTGATACATCTTACGTGCTACTTGCGTATCTGTCTATTTCGGCTTGCATGCTGTAAGCACGTGATTTTTGCTTCACAGACAATCACTCCAAAAGAAATCAAAAATAATAACAAATGGCCTCACTGTACAATTTCTCGATTTTACGTGACATGTGTTGGTAGTCATTTGTGGTTCTGTCCATTGTTTTATTTTATTTATTTAATCTTATCAAACAAAATACAAAATATGTATGTCATGTATAATTAAACCATAATTCGATCATTAAAAGAAAATTCACAAAAAATATGCACCTTTTATTCTAGGGTGTGATTTAACCTACTTTTATATTTTGATATGTGTGTGATAATTGTGTTAAGTGTTAAATTAATGGTTGTTTTAATTTCGTTTATTTATTTATTTAGTTTTAAAATTAGAAAACAAAAGAAAAGAGTGAAGAAAATCTGTTTGGGCCAAGAAATGAAACCAAAAAATAGGCCCAAAAGCAACCCACATCACCCAGCCCAAACAACCCGTCCCCAGGCCATCAAAACGACGTAGTTCAACACCAAAACTACGTCGTTTCAGGGACAGTTAATCTGAGCCATTCATCTAAATTGATCCAATGGCCTTTGTTTTCCCTCATGACCCTACCCATTCCCGTTTGAAACCGACCCCTCACTTAACCAAACGGTACCGTATTGTTAAGCTTCCCCAAATTCTGGCCATCAATTGTAATCGATCCAACGGCCAGGATTGAACCACCCTTCCCATATATAAACCTAACCTAACACCCCACGCCCCAAGCCAGACCCCCCTCTTCGGCCACTATTCACCATCGTCCTAGAGCCCCCTCCTCTCAAACCCTAACAGCCTTAGGGTTCCCCGCCGAAAGCCCGGTAACCACGGTTCCGATGACCACCAAAATAACACCCCTGATGCACCCAACCACCCTGAACACGAATCTGTTAACCATTCACCTCGAATCACCCCATAGCCTCTCGAATCTTCAATCGAAGATTCGAGCAAAAACCAGATCTACACCCACCGACTCCAAACTCATACCACAGCACCTCCTGACCTTCCTTACCCCCTGAATGACTTTGGTTCCGTTCGAATCTGACCGGAACAGAACAGATCTCAAATCAGACCACCAAGAACCCTAGAACTTAGAGTTATGGGTGTCTGTCCAAACCAACAAGGGATCAGGGTCTAATAGACTTTAACCAAAGTGTTCTCAGTTGAGAACACTTCGATTAAGGTCCATTCGACCCCGAAATGGTCGAATCTGAGTCCGAGTTTTGACTCAGTCTTAATTTCATATCCCTGAGGTAATTTTCCCTGTTCTTTTGTCCTCTTAAATTCTATCTGTCTTTCATGTTCTGGTTTGGTTTGGTTTTTGACTTTTCTATCCATGTGTGTGAGTTTTGAGTTAATAGTTTGTTTATTGGTTTTATTGATTGTTTGCTGTATATTATAGTTTGTATAGTCGTCTAAATAAGTGTCATCAACTGAATTCACTTGAAAGATTAAAAAATCAGGAGCCTGCATTTCAGTATGATTACTGTGCCTGTTCTTTTATTTATGATGATACTTGTAGGTCTGATGTAGTAGCACTTCGATCATAGTTTGCATCCTTAACTGCGTATTGGATCAATTGGTTTTGAGTTGGTCAGGTTTGGCTCCCAATGTGGCCAACTCATACCATTTGATTGGCACCCCTGTTTGTTTAAGTTTGAATCATTGCCTGAACTTAGGCAGAGAATTGGCTATTAGCTGCAAAAATCTAACAGATCAGCCTAAAAGCAGTATTGAGTTTAAGTTGATTAGATAATAGTCAGGTATTGGCTAAAATCAGAAGGGTTTATATACTGAATATTAGGAGTTAGGGTAATACAGTAATACGCAAGGTTTAAGGGTAATTTTGGCATTAAGCAGAGTTTGGTCAGGCATTAACTTAAGAACATGTCAAGTGGTAATTAAAATACTATTAACCTAATGACAATGGGGAACAAAACATAAGAGCATGGGAATTAAATGAATACTTTAAACCCATAACTCTTGATTAGAGCAATAGGACAAAGCATGGGGGGCTGATAAGTTTACTTCAAGAAAGATGCCTTTGGGTATGGGGAGTTAAGGGGTATGGGCAGACTACAACTTGTAGGGATCCGGGTAGCTTGACTGACCTGGATTAGCTTATAAATAAGCTGCTTCAGAACATAAAAAGGATTGGACATTTTTTAGTCTTCAGAAAGGGAAAAACAGAAAGAAATTTCAGAACACTGTAAGCTGAACACTGTCTGAAAACTGCATAAGAAATTAAGTTGGTCAGGCTGTCTTGGCCAAGTCAATTATTCTAGTTGGGCTGGTACTATTCCATTAGGATACTCCGATTTTCTCTGCAAGGATACTGCTGTTCTGGGTTTTTCTGCTGGTTTACTACTCTATTCCTGGGTCTGTCTTGTGGTGCTCGACCACCTGTGGTTTATCGTTATTGAACTGTTGTTGGGTGTTTTTGAGCTGGAGGTTACATTGTTGCTGTTGATTGTTGACTGTGGTTTACCTGCTGATGCTGTGTTGTTACATACTACTCGACTGATCATTCTCCTTCTTCTTTTGTTTTCCTATACCAGGTACATGACTAATACTGTCAATGTAACTTGAAAGTTGAGCATGAATACAAAAGAGAAGAGTTGAACATTGTTTGTTTTTATACGTAGACTGTATATTGCATATCATGTGATGTATACTAGTTTACATTTTTGCTGGGATACTGGAGTTAGCTCTCATACATAGGCAATGTCAATTGTATGGTAACTTGATATCCTATTGTGTGTGTAGGCTGATAGATAAAAGGTTTGACAGCATAGTAGGCTATAACTCAGAAATTAGCTATGTTTGTGATTAACATGTCCATTAATGCATGAAAATTATCTATCATTAGTTAATTTCCTGCCCTTTTGATAAACTGCCTTGTTATAACTGATAAACCACACCTTTAGAACAAAGAACGCACGTTTACGGTCTCAACCTCACGAAGGTTGAGCCCAAGTCGAAACGGACTAAGCAGGCCCTCATCGGAAAAACGTTGGCCCAGGCCTGGCTAATCCCGCATGGGCTGGGTTTGGGCCCATAAGATTCGATCGATTGCCCGTGGGCATGGCCATGTTTCTGATTTGTAAAAGCATTCGGAATCCTGCTATAAATAACCTGCAAGCATGAAATTAACTAGGGTTATTTCCGTTTTCAATCAGTAGAGACAAACACAACAAGAAATGTAGCTACTATAGGATATCCTTTTAAAAAATAAAGACGAGATGAGCCTCGACAAAATAAAAACGCACAAGCTATGGGGCCCTCGTTAAATGTATATATCAAAGCACTCAGTTTCCAGGGCGGGCCTTTTAGCGAATCTCACGGCTTTCCCAGAATAATAACACGATAGTCTCTTTAGGCGCGTATTTAATAATGTTATCTCCTTAAACTCGGGTGCACATTTATGTGACCCAAATCCAAATCCCAACGGAATCGAAATGTGTCTCTAATCACGGGTACATTGATTGTGGCGTGATCCGAGATGCATTTCCATGACGTTGCAAATTCTTTTCAATAATAAATGAGACGAGCCTCGACAAACAAAAAATGTACAAGCTGCGGGGCCCTCTAAATATACGTATATATTGAAATACTTAGAATTCGGGACAGGCCGTTTAGCGAATTTTATGGCTTTCCCCAAAATAACAATACGCTAGTTGCTTTAAGCGCGCCTTTAATAATTTATTTTCCTTAACTCGAGTGCACATTTATGTGACCCAAATCCAAATCTCAACCGAGTCGAGACATGTCAACAACCACGGGCGCATTGATGTAACGTGGTTCGAGATATGTTTTCACAACGTTGCAAGTCCTATAAAGATAATAATAATTATGAAAGCAGTAAAAAGTTAAAATTTGCACATCAGTTCATATTTGTATAAAATCAGATTAATCAAGCCGAATATAGCAGTTGAGCGACCGTGCTAGAACCACGGAACTCGGGAGTGCCTAACACATTCTCCCAGGTTAACAGAATTCCTTATCCGGATTTCTAGTACGCAGACTGTAATATGGAGTCATTCTTTTCCTCGACTCGGGACTAAAATTGGTGACTTGGAACACCCTAAATCTCCCAAGTGGTGACTCTGAAATAAATAAATAAATCCCGTTTCGATTGTCCTTTAATTGGAAAAAACTCCCTCGTACCCTCTCGGGTATGTAAAAAGGAGGTGTGACACATGCTAAAATTTTCTGCCATTGTCAGAAATCAAACATGTCTTAGTTTAAATAGGCGCCCACCTGTATAACGAGAGGAATAATTTCATGTCTTAGTTTAAATAGGCGCCCACCTGTATAACGAGAGGAATAATTTTCAGTCTTAGTTTAAATAGGCGCCCACCTGTATAACGAGAGGAATAATTTCATGTCTTAGTTTAAATAGGCGCCCACCTATATAACGAGAGGAATAATTTCATGTCTTAGTTTAGATAGGCGCCCACCTGTCCCCTGTTTTGGTGACCTTTCTGGTATCGCGTCCCTCTGCCTTCATCGACCTTTATTTTCCTGCAGTAGACAAAAGGACTTAATTAGTTTTAATCATGGTGGGGCAACGGTGGTCTTTCCGTTGGGGTATGATTTTTCCCTTTTCTTTTCCTTGCTCTGTGCACCAACAACTGGTTGGTGGACGACGTTGCTTGCTGGGGTGGTTTTCCATTTATCCTCCTTTCTGCTTCCTCTTTTCAGGACATGCTGTGGGAGTCTGCTTTTAATCCCGAAACTACCCCCTTCAGGAGTTTACTTCCTCCTGGAACTGCAAGGCATAGAATTGCATTGCCTGGGGATATCTTGCACTGGATTGATTTCCCTTTCTTGT